CTGCTTGACCCAACTGAGGCCAGTGGAGTCTTCTAGGGTTTTGTATAATGGGTGCTGAGGGGAGGGGCTTGGGGCTTTACACAGCTTTGCCCACCCCCCTGCCACTGTCCAGAGAGGCAGCCACCCTCCCAAGACACAGACAGACTGAGGCCCCCACAAAGGCTAAAGCCAAGGAGGAGACACCTAATATCAGGGAGTGTGCCCCTGGGCCCCTGAGGCCAGCCTCGCACAGCTGCTGGCCCAGTGCTGCTCCCTTGGTTTTTATTTTTAAAACAAGTTAGTCTTGCATTTCTTTGAGGTGTAGCTAAAAGAGTTGTGATTACGTCATGGCTCCTTGAGGAGGTCAGAAACACTCTGTCCAAGCCACTAAGTACCGTTGTGGCTCAGAGGCTCCACTGAGTCGGAGAAGGACGAAGCTCCCATCCGTATGGGCGGTGTGGGTCGGGCGTCAGGTCGCCCCTCTGTCACCTGAAGCTGCTCGGAGATCTCTGAGGAACCTCATCATGAACATTTCCCCTGAACACAGAGGTTGTGGGGAGCCCTCTGTGGCCCCTCTGAGGAAGCCTCGTCATAGGCTAACCTGTTGAGATGCTCCCGCGGGTGGAGAGCGACGCAGTAGCACACGGGCCACCAGGCGTGACTACCCACTTCTGTCCTCCAGGTAGACGCCTCGGGGTCCAAGAGCTGGCTACCTCTGGAGGACGAGGGGCTGTGGTCAGCTCTGTCCTCTCCCTCCAGGCCTGTCTTCCTCCCCAGCTGAGCTGACAGCCCCTCCCCAGGACCAGACTGTGCCGGGAAGAAATAAGATGGGAGCTGTGTGTGTATGTGTGTGTGTGTGCGTGAGAGAGAGAGAGACGACCTGAGGATGGGTGTGAGGTAACCTCCCTCAGGACCGGGCCTCTTCCTCTCTCAGGAGACCCCTCCTGTCTTCACAGAGCAGCAGAGAAACCCCATCCCATGAAACCCCTGGACCCCAGGCTAGGTCCAACTCCAGCACGGCCTCCACCAGCCCAGCTTTCCACTGAGGAGTCCCCACAACTGGGGTTACTCCCAAGGTCCCCCAAGTTACCCGGAGCACTGACCACCCCCGACTCCACTCTGCACCCTGTGTAAGCAGAGAGCCAGCCTGTCCCCTATTTATTCTCACCTCCAAACCTTGGTCCCTCTGGACTCCTGCTTGTATGTTTAGTTTGGCCAAGTCTCGCAGCTTGTGGGATTTTAGTTCCCCAACTAGGGATTGAACCCAGGGCCCCAGCCGTGAAAGTACCGAGTCCTAGCCACTGGACCACCAGGGAATTGGACCCCTGCTTACAAACCTTTACTCTCAGCCTGCCCAAATTGTAGTCCCCCTTCAAGCCCTCATGAAGGAGCACTGTCCCCGGCTGCAGGCTTCCCTGCCTGTCCTGGGCATCCTATGGACCCCGGCGCCTCCACCTCTGTGCCCACGGACACTGCCTGTCCTCTTCCCCAGGAAGCCTTGGCTGTGCTCTCTCTACTTCCCAGGCTCTTTCCAGCCTCTGTTCGTCATTCTCTTGACTCCCTTGAGCATTCCTTCAGGAATGAGTAGAGAAATGGGTGATTTTTTTTTTTTTACCTAGGGCAGTTTTCACCAGATTTCTATTTTGGATTTCCCAGATTGATTAAAAGCTCCAAAAATCTTGAGAAACTGACAGAATTTGTGTATATATATATCTATCTAATATATTGGCCAAGAAACAGCATGGAAAACCAAATAAAACTACTAGCATTGTCTTATTTTCCATTGTTTCATAAAAACACAGTGGAAGGCCAAGAAAGTAGGAAGGATGTAGTTTCAAAATAAAGAAGGGTTCTTTAAATATGTTTGACGACAAGAACAAAAACCACATTGCCCTAACTTTTTCCATTTTGCTGTAGATCAGTGAGAATATTGTTATGGAAACCAACAGAGAGATGCAGGGAAGGAGAAGACATTGGAGGGTGTCTGAGGATGGAAAAATGGATGGGGAGGGGGAGGAGGGCGCTAGTGACGGGGGTGGGAGAACAGAGGCCCGCCAGCCAGGCCCTTCTTGCCCTCCTTCTCCTCACATGAGACTGGGCTGCCCAGGTTCAGGTCCTGGCCAAAGGGCAGAGCTGGAGCCACTCTCACAGATCGGGTGTCTCAAGGACCCTAGTAATCTGGTGCCCACCCCCTACACTGCACATGGGTCTTGTATTTGTGCTTGTGATAGTGCCAGCTGGATTTGGGAAACGAGCCACTGGTACACAAGGACTTGGAGTCAGGTGCCCGGGTCCAGACTGGACTCTGCTGAGTCACCTGGGGAAGTCCCATCTGTCTCTGGGCCTCAGTTTCTTCACCTTAAAACAGAGGCACTAGTGGGACTTCCCTAGTGGTTCAGATTCCACTGCAGGGGGTGCAGGTTCAATCCCTGGTCAGGGAACTAAGATCCCGCATGCTGTGAGGCGTGGCCAAACAAAATAATAATTTTAAAAAATGAAGGCTCTGTCAACTAGACTTCAAAAAAATTGAAAAAGGGAAAAACCCCGAAGTTTCTGAACCAGTCTCTGAGGCTAATTCAGTCCTGTGCCTTAAAAAAAAATTTTTTGGTAGAAAATTTAGAATTTCAGGGACTTAACTCCCCCTCAGGGCCTTCAATAAGCCTCTCTGAGGTTCCTGGGCCTCCGATCAAGAATTTCAACCTGCCAATCCTGACACACAGCCATTGGTCTCTTGCCCTCAGATCACTCCCTTTCCTGAGCAGAGACACTATTTACCTATTATCAACCACTCACAAGGCAGGGCCAAATACCTCAGGGAACTAGGTGACTCTAACACGAAGAATTATTATACCCTGGGGCTCCTCTTGGGTTCACAAAGAGCTTTACAGACAGGAAACAAAAGATGACAGAAATTCCTTTAGGGAACAAAGACTTCTGGCTGCCCACAGCAGTTGGGTATGGGGAGAGCTTGACCTCAGGAGCTAGAACGCCCTGGGTTGATACCTCTCCCTGTGACTTAACTGTGTTATTTGGGCAAATTATTTTACCTTGAGCCTTTGGGTTCTTCACCTGTAAAACAGGCAGCAGAAATGACAGTAGATGCTAAGGTTTCTAGGACTTGGATTTCCCAGCTTCCCTTGCAGAAGGTCAGGGTCACGTGACTCGTGGCCAACAGTCGGCCTGTGAGTGGAAGAGGCAGCTGTCGGGCCTGGCCAAGGCACTGAGGTGTCCGTGTACCTTCTCCTCTCTCTCCCTTCCTCCATAAGGGCCTTGGGGGCCAGTCTTCCCGATGATGTGGCTATGAGATGGAAGGGAGTCTTCCCGCCACATATCAAAATTTACATGACTGACAAGTAATGCATTATTGTGCCAAGCCACTGAAATTTCTAGAGTTTTCTGCTATGACAGACTGTTAACTACCATGACTGATACAGGGAGGACTGACAGAGATCTTGGACACAAACCCCTCTGAAGACAGTGGGGGCTGTGCTTCTTAAAGAAAAGACCTAAACCCTCTATAATAGTCAGCTCACACTGCCACAGCAAAACACCGTAGACTGGTGGCCTAGACGACAGACGTTTATCTCTCACCCCATGGAGGCTAAAAAGTGGTCCGGTTAAAGGTGGTCCGGTTCTGGTGAATTTTCTTTCTGGCTGGCAGACAGCTGCCTTCTCACGGGGTCCTCACATGGCAGAGAGAAAGAGACAGTAAGTTCTCTGGGGTCCCTTCTCATGAGGGTGTTGTTAATCCCATCCTGAGGGGACCCTCATGGCTTCATCTAACCCTGATTATGTCCCAAAGGCCCCACCCCCAAATCTCATCACACTGGGGGGTTAGGGTGTCAACTTATGAACTTGGGGGAGGGGGGAACAACTCAGTCTATGGCACCCCATCAAGTCAGGGCTCCTCAGATCTTAACAGCCAAATTTTACATATATATATATATTTTTTAATTTTATTACATTTATTTGTTTATTCCCTTTTGACTGTGCTGAGTCTTCACTGCTGTGCACAGGTCTCTCCAGTTGCAGAGAGTGGGGGCTCCTCTCTACTGGTCACTGTGCTGACCTCTCTTCTTGAAGAGCACAGGCTCGAGAGAGCCGGCTCAGTGGTTGTGGTACCCGGGCTCAGTAGTTGCCCTGTGGCATGTGGGACCTTCCCCGAGCGGGGATCAAACCTGTGACCGTGCATTGGTAGGTGGATTCTTACCCACTGGACCACTGGGGAAATCCAAGAGCCAAATTTTAAAAGCAGAGAAGCAGCCCAGGGTGAGATGAGGTGGGAGTTTCATCCAGAGGGAAGAGATGAGGCAAGTCTGCCGTTCCCAGGGCCCATGATTGTTGCCTGCAGCCCTCCCCAGAGAACCCTCCTTTTCCTTCCTAGTCTTCCCGTCCTCCATCCTGCCCTCATACCAAGGTGGCTGAGTCACATACGATTCACAAATTCCTAGACGCTTCATTGACTTCTTAGAACTGGGAGACCTCTAGGTCTTAGAGGTCACCTTCTCTTGGCTCCTGATTCTTACAGACCACACGTCTGGGCCTGGAGAGGAAATGGGAAACACCAGAGGTCTGGGCTGGCTTGTCCCAAACCTAGGGTAGGCCGGGAGGTAGTTTGGTGCAGCAAAGGCAGAGAGACAGTCCGAATATCAAGAAGCCAGCTGTTTTCATTTCAGCATACAAATTTTGCATAATTTTGCAAGATAAAGCCTTAGTTTACAGTTTTAGGTTTTTACTTGTAAGTATGACACACGGAAGGCCCCAGGACCTGGAAAATCGATCATCAGACCTGTCAAAGCCGGAATCAGGGTCTCATTCCATCCTTTCCGCAGGCCAGGCAGGGAGCTTCCTGGGCGCTAGAGAGAGTTTCCACGGGGTTTGGCCTCGGCTCCCGAGCGGCCTGTGACCATTAACTCCCTCACCCTCCGCCTCCAGCCCAGGGCGGCCGCGGGGGCACGGGTCACGAGGCCGCCAAGGGGTTTCTCCCCACCGCCCCTCGGCTTCCTGGAGCCGCCGCACCTATGGCCTTGGCCATCGCGCTCCTCCTCGCGGGGGTCCTGCTCCCCTGCTGGGGAGAGTTCGCGCTCTTTAAAAAGGGGTCTACAAAGGTGAGCCAAGGGACATTTCGAACCTTCCGTTCTAGCCGAGGGCGGTGGCCGGGGCATCACTCTCCATCCAGAATGGGCCAGTTGGGTTTGGAGAGAGAAGTGGGGGACAGGGCAGGGGAGGGGACCACCCGTCCTGGGGATTTCTTCTCAGGCTGGAAGCTTGGTGTGCTCCCAAAGGACTTCAAAGACCTTGCTTCACCTCCCTAGCGGCTTTGGAGGTGAAAGGAAGTGGACTTACACCAGCAGCATCCTTTCCCTCCCCTCCCCCCTCCCCCCTCCTCTCTGGGATGCTCAGTCCTGCCCCCAGCCGTGCCTTGCACACCTGCCCTAGCCTCTGCCCCTCTCTGTGCCCTTCTAGGCATGCAACTCTTTCCTCCTTTTCCTTCCTCCTCTTTCTCTCCACCCCATTCTCTGTCCCTTCCCCATCCCCCACTAAAGTGTGATGGGGAGTATTTGGTCCATCAACACAGGTGATCCTTTCGGAGCCACAGAGGTGAGGGGGTCCCCCAGGAAAGAAGAAGCAGTGGGAAAAGTCCTAACTTCCCCCTTCCTCTCCCCTGTTCCTCTGATTGCAGTGGGGTTGGGACGTGGGGGTGAACTTCTCTAGGACTTCTCTTTCTGGATCTGTGGGGCTTTGGCAGTGTCAGGGCACCCCCTCTACACACACACACACACACACACACACACACGGCTAAAGAGCTGGTGACTTAGGGGTTGTTCCCACAGGCAAACGGGGCGAGGTGCTCCCACCACTCTGAGTGCTTCAGTGACTGCTGTCTCATCAGCTTGGACTCCGGCAGTGCTTTCTGTGCCCCTCGGGCCAGAATAACCATGACGTGCTTGCCCCAGGTGAGACCCTGCCCCCGCGGGGCAGCCCCTGCTGGTACGTAGCCCCGCATGGCTGCACCTGCTTTTTTCACCCTTTGCTTGAAGTGTCCTTTCCCCCTTCTCCACCTGGCAAACTCCTGATCATCCTGCAATGCAACTCCAGCCACCTCCTCCAAGAAGCCTTCCCTCCTTGGAACTCGCATGCCTTTGGGACCCACACCCTCAGCAGAGCATGCATCTCCCTGATTTGCCTGCCTTCTGTCTGCCTCCACCACTGGTCAGAGCTCTGCAAGAGCAGGATTAAAGCATATTCACTTTTGAGCCTCTACTCCCCAGCTTAGTGCCTGCACATAGTAGTTGCTCAACAAACATTTATTGCATGAATGAGTGTCTCTACTGTAACATCCCCGCAGCAGAGCAGGTGGGAAAAGACCTCCCAATCCATCTCGACCATGCTGCCGCAATGACCGAATTTCTTGAGGAGCTGCCCAGGCAGGTCGACGGTTTTGGGATTGGATTTGAATTTAAACCCTGGCTTTACCAACCCCTGTCTTTGTGACCTTAGACAGATCATTTCTGCTCTCTGAGCCTTAGTTTTCTCATCTGTAAAATGGGGCTAAAGTACCCAACCAACCAGCTTGTTGGGAAAAGTGTGTGATCCTGGCAATGACGGTGCTCAGTGAAGCATGATTGTGATCGGCTGGTGGAAATGCAGGGAGCAGAACGCACAGTACATCTTGTTCTTGCTTGCCTTTTTTCTGGCCCTGGGCCCAAACCTTTCTAGGGAGGCTGGGCTCAGTCTCCATCTCTTTGTCTGGAGAACTGCCAGTGCCCAGGGAGACAGCCAGGTCCCTCCTGTGGCCTAGCTCTACAGCTGAAGTAGCCAGAGGGTCTTTTCATTATAGGCACTTAATCTACTTCATTTTGTTTAATTCCATCAATGACAAATGGAGTTACTATTATTATTTCCTTAAAAATAAATTATTTGTTTGACTGCACTAGGTCTAAAGATCCTGGCATGGGGGAATCTTTAGTTCTGGCATGTGAACTCTTAGCTGTAGCATTTGGAATCTAGTGGCAACCCACTCCAGTACTCTTGCCTGGAAAATTCCATGGACTGAGGAGCCTGGTGGGCTACAGTCCATGGGGTCGCAAAGAGTCAGACACGACTGAGCAACTTCACTCACTCCATGACCAAGAATCTGGGCCCCTGCATTGGGAGCTCAGAGTCTTAGCCACTGGACCACCAGGGATGTCCTTCATTATTCCCATTTGACAGATGAGGGAACGAAGACAAAGAAGCTTGCCTAAGGTCACAGTGTTATAAGGGGTAGAGCTGTCAGACCTGAAGTCTGTCTCACTCCATCCCTTGGCCTCTTGCTTCTGCTCCCCAAGAAGTTTAAACCTCCTTCTTCCCTGCTTCTTGGTGACTTTCAACTCTCTCACCGATTTTCTGCAGACCAGGAGCGCCATCAACATCGTGTGTCCCTGCCAAGTAGGCCTGCGTTGCAGACACAAGGACCCAAGCTGTAGCCGTCGCTGCCATTTGATTTAGAGGAGGATGCAGTCTGGTCACGAGCACCCTCCTCCCCCCCACCTCCTTGAGGGGCCTCATCTTGCTCAAAAGACATTAAAGTCACTTCCTGGCTCTGGCCTCTGTCTGTGCTTCCTGGGAGGGGGAACCAGATAGGGATTGTTCTGAAAGAAGAGACATGATAGAGCTTCCCATGGGGTTTGGCCCTGTCTGGAAGCCTGGTGGTCTCAGGGGGAAACTGTGGGACGGGAGTGGGCTTGTGGGGGTATGGGTGCTGGGGGAGGGCAGAGGGATGGATTGGAATTTGGGGATCAGTAGATGCAAACTATTATGTATAGAATGAGTAGGCAACAAGGTCCTACTGTGATAAACCATAATGGAAAAGAATATGAAAAAAGAATGTATATGATGTATAGCTGCATCACTTTGCTGTGCAGCGGAAATTAACACGGCATTGTACATCAGCTATACTTCAATCAAATAAATGTTTAAAAGTAAAGATAAAGAAACTGAGGCTCAGAGAGCTACATGGCTTGCCCAAGTCTCACCATGGGGTATTTTCTGCTGCCAAGTATCCAAGAAAAACAATTGCAACTGGTCTGGATGCTGAGGGAATTCATTGGTGGTCAGAACTGGAAGTGCAGGTTGGCCTTGGGTCTGGTTGAATCCAGTAGCTTCATGGCCCTCTGGCTGGATTCCTTCCCAGTAGCTGCAAAAGGTCCAGGTGTCACGTAATAATAACAGCTAAGATTTATCGAGCACTTACTATGTTCCAGACACTGCAATGTGTTTTCTTATCTGTATCAACTCATCTTATTGTCACAACAAAGTTATAGTAGGTACTATAATTATCCCTAGTTTAAGAATAGGGCAAAGTATCCTTCTTAAAATTTCCAAGTAGGGGTGGGGCTGGGGTTGGACCCCAGGCAGTCTTGCTCCACAGCTCAGGGTCTTAACCACAAGTCCACCTCACATACGGAGAAATCAGTCTCCCCAGAGAAAGGAAACATCTGTGTCACAATTCTCAGCAAACATCCTAAGACTGATTCTAGTTGGATTAGTCTGCTTAGTCTGCATACTCAACCCTGACCCACTCTCCTGGGTCAGACTGGAATGCTGAGTCTCCACCTCAACCCCAGTTCAGTCTGCCTGGGGGTCTCCTTGCTCCAGACCCACTCACCGCTCATCACTTGACATAACCACAGTGTAATTCAGAGATCCTTTGCCTCACTCTGAGATCATAATTTTTTTTTCTCCTATCTCATTATATCTCAATCATTTCCCTCATGTCACCAAAGTATTTTTAAAAACAGTAATGACGTGCTACTATGTATAAAATAGATAACTAAGGAGGACCTACTGTATAGCACAAGGAACTCTACTCAATATTCTATGGTGACCTCAATAGGAAGAAAATCCAAAAAAGAGGGGAGATAAATACACACACACACACACACACACACACACACATATAGCTGATTCACTTTGCTGCATAGTAGAAAGTAACATAACATTGTAAAGCAACTATTCTCCAATAAAAATTAAAAAACTAAAAACTCAGTAGTGACTGTCTAATTTTATTTTATATGTGGACCATATCTGCTTAACTATTTCCCTATGAGTAGACAATAAGATAATTTCCAAGTCCAAACCATCTATGTTCTGTAGGACACAACTTAATGGCTGCAAAAGCAAAATCCTATTCTAATGATGGCTTCAGCAAGGTGGATGCTTTCTCTCTCACCTGGTGGTTGGGGGGAGGCTGGCTGGAGGCTCTGCTGAGAGAGATCATGCATGCCCCCACCTCCTTCCATCTTCTTGCTCAGTCATCTGCTGCTGTTTCCTTCTATTTTTCCCCTTAATTTTTTACAACACAGCACACATAGAAACATCATATTGATATAGCACCTCGGCATAAGAGTAGAAGGGTCTCGGGGCCCTAAAGAGGCTCTGCTGAGGGCAGGAGGCATCCACATCTCCAGACACACTAGTTGGGAAGCTCTGCCCCTGGTTGTTTCTTTTCTTCTATAGTCAGAGATAGTGCACCAGCACACCTGCTGGGTCCACTTTCCAGTTAGATGAAAGGGGGTAGAGAGGCAGCTGGTAGCTCACCCTTCCTAAAAGGGCAGCAGGAATTACTTTCACTTACACCCCACTAGGTGAGCCACTAGTTGGTGAGCCACTAGTTCACCTAGTGGCTCAGATGGTAAAGAATCTGCCTGCAGTGTGGGAGACCTGGGTTCGATCTCTGGGTCAGGAAGATGCCCTGGAGAAGGAAATAGCAATCCACTCCAGTATTCTTGCCTGGAAAACCCCATGGACAGAGGAACCTGTCTGACTACAGTCCATGGGGTCACAAAGAGTCAGACAAGACTGAGCGACTAACACGTTCAATTTCAGGCAAAATTTAGTCACATGGCTGCAGCTAGCTGCAAGGGAAGCTGGGAAATGTAGTTTTCATCTGGACATCCATGTGCCCAGCTAAAGCTTGGGGGGTTCTGTTATTAAAGGACAAAAGGAGAGTGTATAGTGGGAGCAATTTGCTGCCACAAAACTCTTTATTATTATTTTAATAAGCCAGGAGAGCTTGGCTCCCAGGACCCAGAGCTAACGACTGTTAGGCAGCTCTAATCAGGTTGTTTTGTTGATTTGTAGGAGTTCTTCATATATTTTGGATAGTCACTCCTTATTGGACATATCATTTGCAAATATCTTCTCCTATTTTCAGTACATTGTCTTTTCATTTTTTTTTTTTTATGATTTCCTTTGCTGTGCATAGGAAGTCATTTAAAAAAATGAATAAGCTTTTATCTGATATAGTCCAATTTGTTTATTTTTGCTTTTGTTTCCCTTGCCTGAAGAGTCACAACTATTAATAGAAAGATACTGCAAAGACCAACGCAAAGGCTTGTCTATGTTTTCTTCTAGGAAAGACTAGAAAAAAGACTCCTTTGTGGATAGGCAGGCTGCGTGGCTTGCAGGATCTTAGTTCCCTGACCAGGAAAGGAACTCATGCCCCTTACAGGGGAAGCATGGAGTCCTAATTGATGGATGGCTAGGGAAGTCCGAAGGAAGAATCCATTTCTGGTTGGCCAATGATAGCTTTGGAGCCTTCACACCTCTTTGGCCCCACATCTAGGCCAGCCGATAATAGCCCCCCTCCCTCCCTTGGTGCTGGTGGGAGATGCAAACTACACAAACCCCAGCCTGCTTGGGGGAACCCTCACCCTGGCCCCATCTCCTAGCTTCAGTAAAAGTCAAAGCCACCCTCCCCTTCATCCTTACCACTCAGACCCCCTTGCACCTGCCCTGCTGTCCCTAGAAAGGTCCATTATTCAAGCAGTAAAACTTTTCATACTGTTTTGATGTGTGTGACATCATCCATTCCAACATCCAAACCAGTTCTGGGTGGGGGTTGATTTCATCCTCCAAGAGGCACCCAGAAAACCTGGATCACTCAATTGCTTTTCAGAGACTATGACTTCAAGTTCTCCAGTTCTCTTTCCCTTCCATGGCTGGGTGACAAGGGGATGCTCTGTGGCTGGGAGAGGCCTGAATTGGAGGATGGTGGCCCTAGAGAATGTCCTGATTCACAGATGACTTTGCACAAGCAAGAAACCCACTTGTGTTGTGTTAAGCCTCTATGCCTCCTGGATGGTTTGTTTCCACAGCATTTCCTTACCTGCCATGATTAGTGTATGTAAGAATGTCTCTTGCCCCTCTACCCGCAGCATTACCATCTGTTCCCACTCTCAAGACTCAGGCACTTTGTTCTGATTACCCACTGCCAGACCCACTGACAGTTAGTGTGTTCTGAGCTCGTAACCCTCATGCCCACCAAGAAGGCCTACATAAATGTGTTCAGGTGACCGCACTTTCACAGGAGAGGGAGTTACTGAAATTCTCATTGAAAGTCTCTGAAGGAAGGGAGTGGAAAGATAAAAACCAGAGTCTAATTTTCTGTTATTTGATAGTTTTGTGACTTTGGGAGGTTTAGCAACTTCTCTGGCCCTTAGTCACCTCATCTGTGAAACAAATATTCACAATGCTATTTGTTAATAATATACAACCAGATAGGATGAGAGAGTCTTTTGAAATCGTTCTGAGACCTTCTAACTGTATAGATAATGACAACAGCTTCTATTGATTGGGTGCCTACTCTGGGCATAGTAAAATACCTGCTATTTAATTTAAGCATTGCATCATTCCTGTGATGTACTGTTATTTTGTCCCATTTTGCAGACATGGAAACTGAGGTTCAAAGAGGTTAAGAAGTCTGCCAAAAGCACACAGCCAGTAGATAGCAGAGCTTTCTGAATCCAAATCTATCTTGCTGGTGCCAGAGCCCAAGCACATGGACTGGCTACTCTGCCGACAACAAGGCAAGCACAGCGAACGGTCCAGGAAGCAGCAGTGGCTCTTGGGGAACATCTGCTCCATCCCCATTGCTTACTCCTCTGTCCCTTTGGTCTGGGAGCTGGCATTGTTGGCCTCTCCCTCTCAAGCCCAGGACTGGGCATTCATACCTCATTACCTACCCACCAGGCCTCAGTCACATGGCGGTCACCTGGAAGATGCATGGTTTTTAGCTGGAACATAGAGGCAGCTGCTCCTGGTCCTCCACTTCCTCCTCTCCTTTTTCTTCCTCCTCACTGGGAAGGAAATCAAAAGTTTAGGAGGGAACCTCAAGGGTACACTATCTACCACCATCCTAAGACTCTGGTTGGGAAGGGTGGGTGGACCCTGAGGCTTATGTGGGTGAAAGCCAGAAGTGGGGGGCAGCAGGGAGTGCTGGGTGTTTGGGGGCACAAAGAAAGCTCCTCTGGATCATGGGAGCCCTGCTGGGGCACCGCTGGTGGTCTTGCAGAGGTGAACACAGCAGAACACTCCTTTCCCACGCTCGCTCACATCTGGTAAGAGACACAAACGTTCACTTCCGCTCGCGTTTTATTGAGCACTTAGCACCTATAGAGGATTTTGCTAGGTGCAAGCAAGAGGTCTGTGAACAAGACACAAAACTCCTTGCCCTGGGAGAGCTGACATTCTCTTGTAGGGGGTAAATAAGGAAAATATTAATATATTCCACGGGATCAACATCTGAGGACAAAAAACAAATAAGGAAGTGGCTTCAGAAGTTGTGGTGTGAGAAGAGGGTATTCAGGGAAGACCTTACTAACAATGGGAAACTTAAGCAAAGATCTAAAGGGAGTGAATGAGGGTTAGTCACTCAGTCGTGTCCGACTCTCTGCGACTTCATGGACTGTAGCTTGCCAGGCACCTCTGTCCGTGGGATTCTTCAAGCAAGAATACTGGAGTGGGTCGCCATTTCCTTCTCTAGGGAAATCTTCCCAACCCAGGGATCGAATCCACACTGCAGGCAGATTCTCCATCTGAGCCACCAGGCCTTTCCTAAAGGGAGCCAGGCAGGCAGGAGAAGGAGCCGTCTAGGTGGAAGAACAGCCAGGGCAAAAGCCTAGAGGAGGGACCTTGCCTGGCATATTCAGGAAGAGCAAAGAGGAGTGAGAGAGAATGGAAACAGTAGAAGAGGTTCGAGAGATCAAAGGAACATTACAGTATTCTCCTTTACTCAGCAGTTCTGCTCTCAGCACCTACTGTGTGTGAGGACTTAAGTCCTAGTGGTGACAGAGAACTGTGAACATGAGTGCAAAAATCACTGCCCTCCTAGAGTTAAGGAGGGGATAGAAAAATTTTAAAACAGGATAAGGAAGATAAATTTAGGGAGTCATATATGTTGTGAACATGGCAAACCCAGGTGATGGGCCTGCTCTGGCTGGGTGTCGGGAGGGCCGCAGCCTGGGGCAGGAGAGGGGGGCAGACAGACAGGGCCCCCGGGGCAGGGCACGCGGAGCGGGGCAGGCAGCTGTTGCTTTTGCTCCCAGCTGGAGCCCCAGGGCCTGCACACAGTAGGTGCTCAGTATTTGCTCCTTGAAAGACTACTGACATTGTGGGACAGAGGGCTGATGGATGGCAGTGATAATGTCATAAGCCCCAGCCCTGGGGACCGTTGACGTGTGAGCGTGTGCATGTTTGGGGGGGGGGGGGGTGCAGATGACAATTTTGCGCCGCAGGCGGGTGGGTCTGGCTCACTCTCCTGTGCAACAGAGGAGAAGTTACCTATTTGGGGGACACTGTGGACAAACCTTCCAAAACTGCTTAGTCCCCTCTAGGCACAAGTCAGGTCCCGCAGTCTCCTTGTGTCCCCCGAACCCCACCCACACAGACGTCCCTTGGGCCCAGCCTGGCAGGTGGGGAGGGGGCGGTGTGGCAGAAGGAGGCAGGCCAGGCCGTCTCCCCGCAGGACCCGGGGGAGATTTGCTTCCAGAAGCAAGGGTGCAAGAGCCGGTGCCGCTGCCGGTCTGCCGAGAACTGCGAGTTGTACTGCCCTGTAAAGGGGTCTGCGGGCAGTACGTGTCCCCGGGGTGGGTGTCGGGGCCTCGGGGGAGCTGAGGGGGAGATCCACGGAAGGTGGAACTGGAGCGCACCCAGAGGCCAGGGGAAGGAGGGAGGGGTAGGTGGGCGGAAATGACCCAGGCATTCTCTGCTGGGGGAGACTTTGGACAGACCCAAGGTGGGTCCCCGCCCCCAGGGGCGTGGAATCCTGGATGGTGGGGCAGGGATGGGGTGCGGCGATGTTTCTTTCTCTAACATGGGCTCCCGTTCTCCGGGGCTCTTCCAGCAGACCCTGAAGTAGCAAGGTCAATGGCACATTTTAGGTCTGGCCCTAGCCCTGGGTCTACGTCTGCCTTAACCACACTCATCCCAAGCCCCAGGAGTTCTGTTGTGGCTTCCTGGGAGGAAGTGGGCTGAGGCAGCCTCTGAACTGAGTGTGCCGGAGAGGGGAGTTGATTGACCCATGAACGGATTTAAGGAGAGGAGATATGGCCCCCTGTCAGTGTTCATCCACTTAGGACTGGTAGATGGGATAACAGGGGAAAGGCAATGCCAGGGGTGGAGTGAGGAGGGCCCTATGCAACCCTAGAGGTCAGCCTGGAGGAGGTGACCAGAGGCACAGAGTCAGCAGCTGGGGGAGAAGGTCCTTTGTGCCCAGGCTCCTCCACTGTGCACAGGTCGAGGGCCCCCAAGCTGGACTGTGGTGAAGCTGGGGGCTGCCCCAGAGCAGCCCTCAAGGCCGAGGTCAAAGTCTCGCTTTTCCCTGGCATTCTTCCCTTTCTCTGACATTCCTTGGCCTGGATAACGGGTATCCCTGCCAGCTGGACCTGACTTGTGTATTTCCAAAGAATCAGAAATAGTTTAAAATCACCTACAGCCATTGTAAGAAAATTGAAAAAAAGAAGCCAGCTAAGAAAGCTTTCTTTTAATGATCTCTCTTCATTGCCTCCTCCCACTTCTCCGCCTACTCCGGTGACACCTGGAACTGTGTGTCCCTGCCCCTGGTTCCCAGAGCCTCCCCTAGCGGGGAGGGGTAAGGAGGGAGAGATGATGCACTATCACTGAAATAAAAAGCTTGCAATGTTTACTGGCAGCCAAGCCTGCCTTCCTTGCTAAACCCCAATATTGTTTGGGCAGCCACGTCCCCAGCCCTGGAGCAGGACTGTAGTTAGCCTAAGCCAGTTATGGCAATCCCATTCTCTTTGCCCAATACTTGCTTTTCCAGCCTCCCTTGCAGCTAGCAGTGGTCAGGTGACCCAGCAGTAGCTGTAGAGATATGGAGACGTCAGCCTGGAAATATTAGGGGAAGATAAGAAGGTACCCTGGGAGAGGCACTCTGTCCTTACCCCCCTCCCCCACCCAGCTTCTGTCCCCAGGCTTTCTCACTTAGCACATGGTGAGAGGATCTGATGTTAGGAGCCCCGGTGAAGGAGTTTGCTGAGAGGAGCTAGCACCCAAACACATGCCAACATTTCCATCTCCAGACTTCTTCACGCCTGAGAAATACATGCCCCCTTTGTTTGTGCCATAATTACTTGGGTTTTGTTACTTACAGCTGAATCCAGTCTTAAATCCTAAACCTAATGGTTCTCTTGAGGATTCATTATCCCAGAACTACAGAATGCCGGGGCGGGTAGAGCATCTAATTCATTTAGTTCACCCTCCCCTGTTTATGTGAATCTCCTCTCTAGCATCGCCACCGAGGGTCACTGACCTTCCAGTTGTACATCAGTGCCTAGTATCTTAAGACTCTCTAAGGAAGCCCAGGTTTGATGGCTCCAGTGGGTATAAGGTTTTTATAGTAAGTCAAAACTAAATTCCTTTTGAAAGAGAAAGTGATAGTCACTCAGTCGTGCCTGACTCTGCGACCTCATGGACTGTGGCCCACCAGGCTCCTCTGTCCATGGGATTCTCCAGTCAAGAACACTGGAGTGGGTTGCCATTCCCTTCTCCAGGGGATCTTCCTGACCGAGGGATCGAACCCTGGTCTCCTGCATTTGCAGGCAGTTTCTTTACCAGGGAAGCCCTTTCCTTTAAGTTCCACCCATTTGTCTCAGTGTGAGTTACCCGGAAAGAGCAGGAAATCGTAGAAAGGGTTGGGGGTGGAGTTGGGTGGATTTAGTGCCAACTTTTTCTAATTATGTAACACTGAGCAAATTACTTAACATCTCTGAACCTTAGTTTCTTTTATCTATAAAGTGGAGACAATGAATTCTCCTTCCCAGGGCCATTGTGAGAATTTGCTGGCCACAGAGTAAGCCCGCAGCAATTATGAGTGAGCTGACTCTTTAACACAGATGGTGTCAGCTAGCTGTCACCGCTGAGTTTGGCCCAGGAGAGGGGTGAGAGACCAGGAGAAGGGACTGGTAAGTTTTGATGCAGGGCAAAGAATATGGGCCATTATAACTCCCCACCAGAGATGTGTGCGTGTGTCTGCCTGCCTGCCTGAGAACTTGAGGGGCAAGGAGGGCCTCCCAGGGAGCTGTGATGCTCCTCAGAAACAGAGAGGGTCCCAGCCTGACTGGGCTTGTTTCACAATCTTGTCTCCAGCCTGTCAGCCTTGTTCTGTTTGGCCCCCCGACCTATTCCTCCTTTTCAGATAACACCTGATGGTGCAAGAAGCTTGATGTAACATCAAGGAAGACGCTGACTCAGCAAGGGTATCCAGGTGACTGGGGAAGGTTTGCAAGAGGGGCTTTAATTGCCAAGAACCCAGTTAGAAGGTGGAGGCGCCAGTCGAGGCGATGGCCGGCCAGGGGCGGGGCCTGGTGGAGGAACATCCTGGGGTGTGCCGGCCGGGGTGAGCTCGCTTACTCTGCGGCACGTCAGAGATCAAGGCAGACGCCGAAGTTGGTGTTGGTGATGGAGCCCACGATGGTCTTGTCAACGTCGCAGGTCAGGCCCCGCTCACAGGGACACTTGTAGTAAACCCCATAGAGCGTCTGCAGAGACAGGGGGTCACAGACTGTGGGGGCCACCTGCCCCAGATGGCGCTTCTCCTTCCTGCCTCCCTGGGGGGGTGCGGGGGCTCAGTGGGCCTGGACGACCTGGGTTCTGGTCTCCACTGTGTGACTCGCTTGCTCTTACTAACTCGATCTCTCTGGGGAGCCTCTGTTTACCCGTCCATGTATAGGGTTAACACCCATGTCCATGACCCATGTCATGGGTCAGTTGTGAGGCTCAGGAGACGGGATGGGATGGGAAAGGTCTTTGAAGGGTGCTGACCTCCCTTCACCTCCAGCATTCTGTGTCCGGACGGACCCTCTTCCCTGAGCACACACGCAAGCCTCGAGGGCCCTCCCCTCACTGAGCTGTACCCCCACAGCCGTCTCCGCCTCCCCCCCCCGGCCCCCCGGCACTCACAAAGGCGGAGCACTCGCTGTTCTCGCGGGCCTTGGGTGCGCAGCGGGCCAGGCTCAGCCCGTCTTCCCGGTGGCAGCACTTGCTGTTGCACTGGGCACTGTTCAGGCAGAGCTCGCCGTCATCCTGCCAGGGGGCAGCCGGTCAGCCCAGCGCCCTCCCTTAGGTCCCCTGTCCACACAGACCCCCAACTCACCAATTGCTACTGCCGACAGGGCCTCCCACCACGGCGGGCTGGTATGAAGGAATCCAACCCCTGGGGCTAGAGGCCTCTGCCCACCCCAACCCCCTGACCCACCCATGTGAGAAGCGGGCAGTGTGGCATCATTAAAGTAGCCCTGAGTGGGGACAGGACACCCAACTCCTCGGACTGGCTGTGCTACCAGCTCCCTGGGTGACCCTGGGCCAGTCGCTGCCCCCCTCTATGCCTCAGTGTTTGCATCTGGAATGGTCGCCTGTGGCCCCCAAACGGGGTTTCCAAACCTCTCTGGGTCCCCCAGTCCTTCGAGGAGCCTGTGAAAGTTGAGGACCGTCTCCCGGGAAAATCCTCCCTCCACAGATTCTTACAGGTAATCTCAGAGGCTTCCCAGCCGCTCTGAGCCCATGCCCAGCCCCGAGTTAAGGACCTGCGAACTGGGTTCCTGTCCCAAAGGGCTCCTGCAGTGCCCTCTTGTGGACAGGCCACGTGGACAGTGCGGAGAGCCTGGCTCTGGAGCCTGCCAGCTTGTCGGAGCCTGGCTCTGGAGCCTGCCAGCTGGTCGCCAGTCTCTGATCAAGGCTTTCCAGCGGTGTGACCTCAGGCAGGTGACTTCACCTTCCTCTAAGTCAGCTTCCCATGTGAAGACAGGATTGATCATAATAGTACCTATCTCACGTGGCTCGTGTGTGTGTGTGTGCGCGCGCATGTGCACACACACACACACACACACACGCTGTGTCACTTCAGTCGTGTCTGACTCTTTGTGACCCCTCTGGACTGTAGCCCACCAGGCTCCCCTGTCCATGGGATTCTCCAGGCAGGAATACTGGAGTGGGTTGCCATGTCCTCCTCCAGGGGATCTTCCCGACCCAGGGATCGAACCTGCGTCTCATACATCTCCTGCATTGGCAGGCAGGTTGTTTACCACCGGCACCACTTGGGAAGCCCCATGTGGTTCTTACAAGGACTAAATAAGTAAGCAATCCTGAGGCATTCAGAGCTGGACTAGGTCAGAAGCCGGAATCACTGGGAAACTTTTTTAAACTACTGGATCTTCTGAGTCAGGGTTTCCAGGACGAGAGCCCAACACTACGGATATTTCTTTTTTCTTGCCTTGCTTCATGGCTCGTGGGATCTTAGTTCCCCAACCAGGGATTGAACCTGTGCCCTCGGGAGTGAAAGTGTGGAGTCCTAACCACGGGACCTCCAGGGAGCTCTGCTCTGGATTTTTATCAAGTTCCCTCAGCCAGGTTGAACCATGCTCTGGGCACGCTCCACGCTGATCAGCCTTCTCTGGGGCCCTGGGGAAGGGGCAAGGGAGACAGGGGGTGGGCAGTCAAGGAAGAGATGTCTTACCTCCCAGTTCCTGGGCAGCGGACCCACCACGGGTCAAAAAGCCAAGCTTAAAAAATATCCTACATGGGGGCCCAGATGCCTCCTGCCTGGAAGACCCTCTTACCAGGTTGATTATGATTCCCCGGGGGTCAGGAACCGCATAGGCTGCCGCAAGGGCGACAAGCAGAAGGACAAGGACCTTCTCCATGATGAGTAGGCACAGCTGGTGTAGGTCGCAGCCGGCAGTTCAGGTCAGGTGGCAAAAGACGGAGCCAGAGGGGGTGGTGGGGCTATAAAAGAGGCCTCGTGCACATGTGACCCACCTTCCCAGTCCCGCAGGGCCTGCCGTGGGCATAGGCCCAGCTGTGGCCAGCCTGCTGGGGTGGGGTCCTGATAAGCTGCTGGGTGCCACCTGGCACCCAAACCTTGTTTGTGTGTGTGTGTTGGGAGTGGTGTGACGTGGCGGCCTGGCTAAGAGAGGGGACTCAGGGGCACCTTTGCCTGTAGGAGTTATTAGCTGGGCAAGTTACCAGTTCTGTTTCAGTCTCCTTATCTGTCAACTGATAAGAGTTGTGAGCGTTAAGTGATTTAACATGTTATACACAAAATACCCATAGCCTGGAACACGGCTCCGCATATGAGCAGTACAGGTTAGCTGCAGTGCCTGTTCACTGCTGTTATTCACCTCTGGTGCCTTGAGCTCCCTGGCAGGGCTGGGACTTGGGTGAAGCAACAGAGATACCTAGAGTGTGAGCACCTCCTTTAACTTTCCTTCCTAGACCCATCTCTTGCCTCACCCCAGTCTGGGCCTGCTTTTGACCCCGCCCAGACCCAGGTATCTGGCAGTATCAGGCTCAGGGGAGGAGGGGTCCCAGGCCCCCTTGGGCTTTTCCGGCAGGCCTACGCCCCTGGGGCTGACCAGCTCTGACCCCTGTGGCCGCTGGCAGGGGGGTACCGCCTCGCTCTGGGAGTCCCATTCTGGGTGTCCCACCCTCCCACTGTCCCACCGAGGGATGCCTGCAGGAGTGATTCGGGGGCTCCCAGGAGGTCCTTCTCCAACAGCTCTCTCCCAGCTCCTTTCCACTTCACTTAATATCTGCAACCAGCATCAAAGACTGGCCCCTTTCATGAAAGCTTCCTCTCTTCCACTCGCCTCTTCCCCTACCCAAGGCCACGTGTGTGCCTGAGCAGTTGTTGGTCCTGGCTGAGGATGAAAAGGTCCCTTTAGCCTCTGCTGGCCCGGGGTGAAGGCTGGGAAGGCCACAGCTGCCTGAGTGTGCTCAGGTGTGGGACGGAGCGGCTTTCCCTGGAGGGCTGGCTGCTGTAGCAGAGCACCCCTTCCTCACCAGGAAGTGGAAGACGGCCAACTTGGGGAGGCTCCAGACTGGGTTGCCTTTATCCAGACAGATCTGACTTCAAAACTCACTGTAACCAGCTACACGAACTTGGACAGGTTATTTAAATTTGTAATCTCCATGAACCTCAGTTTTCTTATCGAGGCAAAGAGGTCAATGGCTCTTAGTAAGGTCAGGATTGAATAGGACAGTGTATGTGAAACCCCACGGAAGTGCCTGACACATGAGGGGTGTCCAGCCAACATAGTGACCCTTCACCCTTATAGCCCTGACAGTGGCCTAGAGAGGAGCCGCTGGAGGAACCAGCCAGGAGATCCTCAAAATGAGAGAAGCCCACCCAATTCCAGAGACCTGGAGATGCCACTGTCTTCGCTTATTTTATTTTTTTACGGAGCTCACTGTTTTCAACCACTTTTCCCCATGAGCTTATCCTGGCCCTTCCCCACCACACTGTTCTCCCAAGTCAAGATGAGGAGGCTGGGGAAGGAACTGGAACCAAAGAGCTCTTCCTATCAAAATGCATCAGTCCTAGTATTGCCAGCAGGTCATGGCCACGTTTCCAGAGGTGAAAGAATGCAGTTTTTTCCATCCCAAACGAATACAGCAAAAAGAACTTTGATAATGATTGTGCTTCCAAAATACAAGCAAGAAGTAAAGGACTTTTTGTACCCAAACCTCATATGGTCTAACCACTCCTTCCCCAATCTAAAGAGTGTCTTGCTTTGGCTTTTCCCCCTTCAAAAAAGAATCGATTTCTGATTCCCACGTGCAATCATATGTGTTTCTCTCACATACATAATGTTGAATGAGGGACTTCCCTGGTGGTCCAGGGGCTAAGATTGCACTCCCGATGCAGGGGGACCATGTTCGACCCCTGCTCAGGGAAATAGATCCCACATGCCACAGCTAAAAGATTCCACATGCTGTAATGAAGATGGAAGATCCCAAGTGCTGCAACTAAGACCCAGCACAGCCAAATAAATATATCAGCTTTAAGAAAGAAATCCACCATAATATTGGATGAGAAAACCCATGGACAAAAGAACACAGACTGTTTGATTCCATCTACATGAGATTCAAGAAGAGGCAAAACTAACCTATGCTGGGGCTTCCCAGGTATTTCAGTGGTAGAGAGTCTGCCTGCCAATGCAGGAGACATGAGTTTGATCCCTGGTCTGGGAAGATCCTACATGCCGCGGAACAGCTAAACCTGTTTGCCACACCTACTGAGCCTATGCTCTGAAGCTTGGGAGCTGCAACTATTGAGCCCATGAGCCCTAGAGCCACTGCAATGAGAAGCCCGCGTTCTGCAGCTGGAGAGTAGCCCCTGCTTGCCACAACTAGAGAAAAGTCCACACAGCAGTAAAGACCCAGCACAGTTCAGTTCAATCGCTCACTCGTGTCCGGCTCTTTGCGACCCCATGAATCGCAGCATGCCAGGCCTCCCTATCCATCACCAACTCTCGGAGATTACTCAAACTCATGTCCATCGAGTCGGTGATGCCATCCAGCCATCTCATCCTCTGTCGTCCCCTTCTCCTCCTGCCCCCAATCTCTCCCAGCATCAGGGTCTTTTCCAATGAGTCAATTCTTTGCATGAGGTGGCCAAAGTACTGGAGTTTCAGCTTCAGCATCAGTCCTTCCAATGAACACCCAGGACTGATCTCCTTTAGGATGGACTGGTTGGATCTCCTTGTAGTCCAAGGGACTCTCAAGAGCCTTCTCCAACATCACAGTTCAAAAGCATCAATTCTTCAACGCTCAGCTTTCTTTACAGTCCAACTCTCACATCCATACATGATCACTGGAAAAACCATAGCCTTGACTAGACAGACCTTTGGTGGCAAAGTAATGTCTCTGCTTTTCAATATGCTCTCTAGGTTGGTCATAACTTTCTTTCCAAGGAGTAAGCGTCTTTTAATTTCATGGCTGCAATCACCATCTGTAGTGATTTTGGAGCCCCAAAAAATAAAGTCTGACACTGTTTCCACTGTTTCCCCATCTATTT